TCCAAAACTCTATTCTAGATCAATGGCAGCTCATGACAGTTTGCCCTGGGCTTTGGAAGAGGCATATCTATAGTTTCTCAGGTCATTGGGTCAAGCAGTAGCTATCATTAATAAGGATGTAGAAGATAATTTGACCAAATGACACCCTTCTGGCCTGTAGCTACCCTTACTAATTATTTCTCATATAGGCTATAGCCCTCAAAAGTTGCCAAATTTTTATATAATCTTAAAAGAATGGGTTACTATGTCTATAGTGAAGAAACAACACAAGGATTAATCTAAAAAGAATAGCTTTTTTCCATCATTAACAATACGGATTGGTTCATAATCTTTTGTTAATATGATCCTAGTGTTTCTTACAAATAGCAACCTCACAACTGCTAGGGAGTACTTCCCCTAAGCTCTATAAACAAAGGGCCCAAACAAATTGCATTATTTGGGGTAGACTCAAAAAATGAATTATTGGATTTCTTAGAGATGTAATTGGATTTCTTATAGATTTCTAATAGATGTCATTTTTCTAAATGTAGAAGTAATACAAGGACACTCTCAAGGTCTCTCTGCAGAACTTTGGAATTGACTGTGTGACATGGGAGACACTGGCACAGGACCGCTCAGCATGGCGTGCCCTCATCAGAGAAGGTGCTGTGCTCTATGAGCAAAGCAGACAGAATTGAGGTAGCTCAAGAGAAATGTGAGATGTGCAAATTCAGAGAATCCACCCCAAATGTTCACAGGGACTATTTGTGCCCGACCTGTGGTAGAACCTTCCGAGCTCATATTAGTCTGATCAGAAAGAGTCAGACACACTGTAACTTGACTCCAGCATAGTGATGTCATTTTGGTCCTCTTCAAGAATGAAGGACAACAACCAACCTAATGTAGAACTGAGGAGGTCTCAGACTTTACCTAAGGGTAAATTATCCAAACTGTACCTTGGAGGTGACCCTGATCCTAAAGGAGGTTTGTGGGTAATTTGCTCTCAAGTAAAGTTTGAAATCTTGAAACTTGGAGAGCTGTCCCAAACCCTTTTGGCAAGTTCTCAAAAGGTAGACTACACATGAATCTAAGGAACCGTGTCTCCCCTATAGAAGTGAGGCAGACATTTATATAATGTCCCCTAGCCGGTGGCAGACTCTATTAAACTGAGATATCTATGAAGACATCTGATCAAGAAGGCAGCTTTTGGCTAACCTGATTTTCCCAATCATTCATTCCATGTTGGCCCCAAGTTGATCAGGCACCGAATGAGAGGTGAGAATGACTTGGCTAAGTGAAGAATCTTCTCTCGTTAACACTGCTTAGCATGACTCTCAAATAGCATCTGATTGGATACCATTGAGACATGGCCATTCAAAAACGTATGTGGGAAAATTCTCCCTGTTGAGGGAAGAGCGTTGCATTCAGGGTTGGGGAACCTCTGGCCTCGAGGCCACATGTGGCCTTCTAGATCCTTGGGTGCAGCCTTTTGAGCAAGTCCAAGTTTTACAGAAGAAATCCTTTTATGAAGGAGATTTGTTTTGTGAAGTTTGGAGTTAGTCAAAGGCCACACTTGAGGATCTAGAGGGCCACATGTGACCTCTAGGCCACAGGTTCCCCACCCCTGTGAGTGATTAAGTACATCCTTGTTGACGACTGCCTGGTGTCCAGGGGCTCTGCTAAGCAATATGCCCCTGAGCCTTATACTTGGCCAATCATCGCACTTTGAGCTAACAGGCCAAACTAATAGCCACCTCTGAGTGATCATAGATGACAAACAGCAATGTTGAAAAATAAAGACTATAGCTCAGAATATGGCTTCGGAACACAAATGTTCTGCCTGAATAGGATGCCTTACATTTCTCTGCCAACAAGCTTTCATTCTAAGAAGCTAAATGTGTCTTTTGACCACTGGGCCAATTCTAAAATACTATTTTCTTTTATACTCTTGTCCACACAGCACTAATTGGTGCTATTCAGACAGTAATGATATTTTTTATCAGTTTTCTCCTGCCAGACTGAGACTGTAGAAGCAACTTATTTAATACAAGACACATATATACATATATATATATATATAAGTATATTTGTGTTTAGTTACATAGAAGTATTTATCTATATGTGTATATACACAGATATCTAGATACACACACACACAAACAAATTCATGTGTGTGTGAGTTAAGCAATGCTATGCAGATGTACAGAGCACACTGTTAAGGGAGGCACGGGTGAGGGGTAGGAATTCCCTTTGGTTCTGCATGGATTCCAGGACTCTGGGATACATTCCTGCCCCTCAGACTACCTTTCCCTCCTTAGTTGCACCCAGGGAGTTAGGACTATCCTCTTTTGTTGTTGGACTAAGCAGAAAACCACCTGAACTTGATAGCAAACTGCATCAGTAGCTTACATTTGAAAATTAATTGTGATTTAGATAGTTCTTTATATAGTTTGCACAGGACTTTTCATGTATCTCATTTGATCCTCATAACAGCCCTGTAATGGAGATAAAGCCAATGTTCTTATCCCCATCTTATAGATGATGAAACCAAAGTTTTGAGAGTTAAATGACTTATCCAAGGTCACACAGTTAGTGAATGAAAGAGCCAGTAGTCAGACTGGGGTCTTCTAACTCTAAAACTATTGGTTTCTACTCTTCTCTATATAATGTCTTCCTTTAGATCTATGATCCACATTACCTTAGGCCAATTTTACAGATGGAGAAATACACATTTATATAGTGACCACTTCAAGTCAGGCATTTGCTAAGTAATTTATAAATAGTATCTCATGTGATCCTCACAATAATTCTGGGAGTTAGATATTATATTTTCCCTACTTTACAGTTGAAAAAACAGTTGAGACACAGGTTAAGTGACTTGCCTTAGATTATAAAGCTAGTAAGTGTCTGAAGCTAGATTTGAATTTTGGTCTTCCTGACTCTGTGCCCAGGATTCTATCTACTGTGCCATCCAGCTGCCTCAAATCAAACTGGACTACTGTGCTACAAATTCCACAAAGCTGACACTCCATCTCCTGCCTCATCAATACCCTTCAGAATCCTTGTCTTCTTTCAAGGCTTTTTTCAGTCACCACCTCCTCCATGGAGTCCTTCCTGATCCTTCCAGTTGTCAGTACTATCACCTTCCTCAAATAACCTCGTATCTATTCATCTCTGTTCATGTCAGTCAGCTGTCAAATTCACTTTCCTAAAGTGCAAGTCTAACTATGTCATTCATTCAACTCCAGTGGCTCCCTATTACCTCCAAGATCAAATAGAAAATCCTGTTTGGCTTGTAAAGCCCTTCATAACCTGGCCCCTTCCTAACTTTCATGTATTCTCACACCTTGAAGCCCCCATGTTCTCTTCCCTCAGGGATACTACCTTTCTTGCTGGCCCTGCCACAAGACACTCCATTTCCCTTTCCTGTAATTTTTTTTTTACTGGCTTGTCCCCCATGCCTAGAAGTCTGTCCCTCATATCTTTTACGCTTGGCTTCTCTGATTCCTTTCAAGAGTCAACGAAAGTCTCACCTCCTGCAAGAATTTCCCATTCCTCTTTAATCTTATTGCCTTCCTTCTGAGATGATCCTCAATATATTCTGTATATATTTTGTACATAGTTGTTTACATATCATCTTCCCCATTAGATTGTAAGCTCCTTGAGCACAGTATCTGTCTTTTGTCTTTCTTTGAATCCCCAGCACTTAGCACAATGCTTGACCTATCAGAGGTGCTTAATAGATACTAGTTAAGTGACTGACATATGATAGCCCTCTCCCCAATAGAATCTAAGTTTCTTGAGGGCAGGGATAGAGCACATGCACATATAGCTCTGGAGCTGGAGTCAGGATGTTGTTCATTGCTGCTGTTCAGTCGTTTCAGTTGTGTCCAATTCTTCTCTTGGCAAAGATACTGGAGTGGTTTGCCATTTCCTTCTGTGGCTCATTTTACAGATGAAGAAACTGAGGCAAACAGAGTTAAGTGACTTGCCCAGGGTCACATGGCCAGTAAGTGTCTAAGTCTGAACTTCAACTCAGGACGTCCTGACTCCAAGCTTGGCCCTATATCTACTGGTCCACCCAGCTACCAGAGAGTCAGGAAAACCTAAGTTCAAATCCTGCTCAGACAACTATTAGCTAAGTGACCCTTCACCTCACTCAGTCCCACTTTCCTCACAGGTGAAAAAGTAGATAATAACAGCACCTACCTTCCACCCAGAGTTGTTGTGATGATTAAATTAGATATTTGTAAAGTTGTTTGCAAAACCTTCAAGTGCTATATAAATGTTAGCCATTGTTTTTATTATTTTTTTTTTGTTTAGCATCACTATCACTCAGCGTATAATTAGTGTTTGATAAATGTCTGTGGAATGAATGAAAGGGAAGCCAATTCTTCTTCCATAAGCCTCCCTGAATAGTTCATTGATTTACAGTGTATCAGAGCCAGTGTCCATCAAATAAAAAAATAAAATAACTTGGTGTGATTCCCTCAGTCTAGAAATGTCTTGTGTTAAGACAGAACGAAGCCAACAGCATTCAAGTCAGGTTCTGTGTAACATCAAGTGAGCATTCGAGTAACACTCACTCTGGTTTTATTCCTTTAACTTCTCCCTCTGAGTCAACCAAGTACTCTCACCGTCACACTACTCAGTATAAGTATCCACAATCACACCAGAATGGTGGGAGAAAGGAGTTGGAGATGTGTTAGAGATTTTCTTTATGTAACATGCCTCCTCTGGTCCCCACTGCCTGAAGGCCAGGTCACTTACCTTTACATGTCACCACCCCCCATTTTATGGGATTTAAGAGGGATCTCTTCTGCTGCTTGCTAGAGCCGCCCACAGATTGAGTTCCCCAAATATTAGTGCTCCATACACCCTGGTTCCACTTAATCACATAATAGTCAGATTAACTTTCACAAAGGAATACTTGAAAGATATAATAAGAACAAACAAACATTTCCCCCAATACCAGGAGGCAACACCTCTGACTCTGGGGAGGAGAGGCAGATTGGGCTCACCACATTTTAGCTTGGTTTGTAGGTGGCATTCATTAATCCTATCAAGTTCCAAGTCCAAAATCCCCCTGGGCTAGTTTCTCAGAGCCCTAGCTTCTCAGGGGTTCCATATGGGGCCTCTTCCAATATCTGGACTGGAATCCTGGGCTCCTGAGTCCCCACGGCTTGAGCGCTAAGGTCCAGGACTCCACTGCCTTCACCTAGAAGTGAAAAAGGACAAATGAAACAGACCAAAACCCCAAGCCCATTTTAGTTAGTGTTCGAATTGGTTCCAGCATTCCCCTGATTCCAGGGAAAGTCATTTAACTGATCAATGTCCCCTGGCAACTTTCTAAGACTATAAGTTGCAAAGACTATGCCAACTTTCATTGGTTCTTTAGCCGGGAATTCCTTAAATGAATGAGATCACAAGACCTTTCCCTCTCCCTATCCCATTCCAATGAATAAATCTACTCTACAGCGAGATACATCAGTATATGAATCATATTGTAAAAATAGATTATACGGCTATATAAAACAGAAGACCTATAAAGTTAATTGAAAGTTGTTCTGAAGTTTTTTCTAGTGGAAAGACTTTCTAATCCAACCAAGGTTACATTGAAAGATCCTAGTTTGTAGGTTACCAACAATGTTTATTGTATAAACAGTCTAGTTTCCATGACTGATTAGGGATAATTCTGAAGCTCTCAACTCATTGGTAGAGGAAATTTGGCACAGTAGAGAAAAATGCTTGATATAGACACAAAGGACCTGGGTTCAAATTCTGCTTCTGTGATTTACTACCTTTGTGACACTGGGCAAATTACTTTACTTCTCTGTCCTCAGTTTCCTCATCTAATCTAACCCTTTCACTTCACAGATGAAGCCAGAGAAGCAAAGTGACTCCCTCTAAAGTGTCATCACTAATGTGGTCTTTGAGACCTTTTTCTTCTCTCAATCTGCTATGTGGGACAGTGAAAAGAGCATTGTATTTGAAGTCAGATTTGTTGTTGTTGTTGTTCAGTTGTGTCTGCCTCTTTGTGACCCCATTTGGGGTTTTCTTGACAAAGATGCTGGAATAGTTCGCCATTTCCTTCTCCAGCTCATTTTACAGATGAGGAAACTCAGGCAAAGTGACTTACCCAGGATCACACAGCTAGTAAGTGTCTGAGTATTTGAACTAAGGTCTTCCTGATTCCAGGACGAGCACTCTATCCATTTCACCACCTAGCTATCCAATGGAGTTAGATAAACTGGGTTCAAATACTGCTCTGTTATTTATTACCCGTGACCTTGAGGAAGTCATTTAATCTCTCTGGGCCTTAGTTTCCCCTTCTGGAAAATGAAGGCTCATAGATCTAAAGCTGAAAGGAACTTTAGAGACCATCTAGTCCAAGCCATGAGTCCTAGGAAGGTTAAGTAGTTTACAGAGCATGTGAGATGATTTCTAAGGTTCCTTCCAATTCCATTTCTATGATATTTTGATTTTAGGCAGCAAGGCATGGTGTAGAGAATAAAAGAGTGCTCCTCAGAACCAGGAAAGACCTGGGTTCAAGCTTTCCTGCTGATATAGCTTAGCTATATGACTCTCACCAAGTCACTTTGCATCTTAGCATTCTGGACCAAAATCTAAGACCAGAAATTTCAGAGAAGGTGACAATCTGCCATTGGAGAGAGAGTTTCCTAATGTGGAAATTCTATACCCCCCAAAATAACAGGTTTGCTCCCTATTCCTTGGGATCCTATGTTTCCTCCCCCAAACTGACCCTGCGGATAAAAAGATATTGCCAGTTGTAATAAAGATTACTGTTATCGTTGGAATATTAAATCTAAACTTGGAAGTGATTTGTTTTGTTTCCATTTGTCTAAAATAATTCCTTTAGGAAATCTATTGCTCTATTGCTAATTTTAACTATTCGTTGTTAAGTGCTCTAGGATATCAGAACAAAGTGCTCTGTAGGGATGTGAGAAGGTATTGTTCTCTATTATCTTCCAAAGGGATGAGTTAATGACAGAGTTTTAAGCTAAACCCAGAATTTCCAGGGTTTTGTTGTTTTGAGGCTTTGACTTGAAACTGTTATTTTTTAAGAACTTACTTTTTCAACCAATTTTTGGTTTAAATCCAATTTGTTTCTTATTCTTTTAGAAGCATTCAATTCATTATAAAAAAAGGAAGGAAGGATAGAAGGGAAAGAAAGAAAGAGAGCGAGGGAAGAAAAAAAGAAACCATTCTTAGACCCTTCACATATGTACAAAGTCTGATTCTTTGAAATGTGTGTGATGCAGGAGAAACTGAGAAATATATATCTCTTTGCCCTTGGGGACTGGCTAAGAAACTTTCAGTGTCTGCACATCAGAAACAACCAGACAAATGATGGGTACACCTGCAGAGGCCTCCATCTACAAGGACTAAGGCTCATCTTGACCCAAGCTTAAGCTCAGATCTAAGGAAGAATGAGAGAATGTAGGAGGGCCTGGTGGAGTCCCCTTGCCCTTCCATACTCTGGGGAATATGTGCAGAGGGTGTGGGTGAAGGGTGAAAGAGAAATAGAAACCATGTCACTCCCCTCCTCAGTAAACTGTGGTAGTCCTGTTATCTTTAGGATAAAATATAATCTCTTTTTGGCAATTTTAAAGCCCGACATACCCTGACCCAAACTAAATTTTAATCCTGTGTATTAATTACTGCATATTAATTCCCTTCATGTAATAATGAGGGCTAACATTTATATAGAGTTTTAAGATTTTCAAAGCAGTTTACAAATATTATCTTATTTTATCCTCACTACAACCCTGGGAGATAGGTGCTAATATTATCTCCATTTTACAGATAAAGAAACTGAGGTAAACAGGGGTTAAGTGACTTTCCCAAGATCTCACTCACATCTAATAAATGTCTGAGCTGAGATTTGAATCCAGATTCTCCTAACTCCAGGTTGAACCTCTGGCTACCTATTACCTTAGATGCCTCCACACGTACTGCTGTCCTATAAACTGGCTTTGCTGTTTCTCACACTTGCTCTTCATGACTCTAATGCACTTCTCCTCACCTCCATCTCTCAGAATCCTTAGTTTCCTTCAAGGCCAGCTTAAACACCAATGTTTAGGCCTTTCTTGATACCCTGGACTGCTAATCTCTCTCCCTCAAAACTGCCTTTTATCTCTTATAAAGACTTGTATAGGTATGTGCGTATCACCCTGACTAGACTATGTGTTTCTACAGGACCAGGACTGTTTTTCTTTTTGTCTTTGTATGTCCAGGGCTTGTACAAGTCCCTAGCACATAGCAGGTGTTTAATAAATGTTTGTTGATTGAGGCAAACAATCAGTATGTTCCTCTGTTTCTCTGCTAGAAAAAAAGCCTTGTTAGTGGAATACCTACAGTCACTGTGGAAATAGTGCCCAGAATTAGACTCTTTTTTTTTTTTAACCAGGAGGAGAGAAGGAAGAGGTATTTATAAGTATTGCATGCTGTTTATCCCTAGGCCCACTTCCTGAGCCACTGGAGCTAATCAAGAAAATGATAAAAACCATTCAGCGTCTTTGTAGGCAGCTTCTAAGATGGGCCAGAAAGAATCAAATGATACCTTGTAAAGGAACAAGTCAATATGGGCTAAATGTACTTGAAATACTTTGAAATAAAATGTTTATTTCTCTTCCCTTCAAAAGTGAATACTGACCAATAGCTTTCAAAAATCCAGTGAAGTAAACAAAATTCCAGAAGACTACTGTTCTTTTTCTAATGGACATGAAAGAGGAGTCAGAGCATGTCATCTCTACAGATGAAGTAAAAGCTCTCTTTAGAAATTAATGCTTTCTTCTGTCTTTTAGAAAAATGAGAACTCACTTCCATGAGGACAGAATTTGCCACAAATCTCTAAAAATTCAGAATGAGTAGTCAGTGCATGTAAAACATTGGAAATAATTTATTTCTTATCGGTGTATTCCAGTGATTTGTCTCATAATCATATTTGATACAGAATTCAGTTCAAGAAATGGTGACAAGTACATACCAATGTGACATAGACAAAATATCTTTTTAAAGTGGTAGGTTAAAAACTTTTCACATACTTGACTTCAGAGGAAAGTCATGATGATTAGAAAAGGTAAACATTAGCTTTGGAAGAATAAATGGAATGTTCCTTAACAGGTTTGGCAAAGCCAGTGGAAAATATTCTTCACTCACTGTTTTGTGTTTTTCTCCACTACCCCTCCACCCCTGAACAAAGGATAATTTGTGAAAGGATAAATGAATGAAGGAAAAACAAAACCAGATGAACACTGTAAGTCACAGCTCCCATCTACATGTTCCCAGAAATTTCTGCCAGACAATGAGAAAATTTATTAGTATAATGTATAGCAGCAACTATCTACAGAAAAAAAGCAAAAACAAAACCCCCCAAACCCACTTGCAACTCAGAAATGTATGGCTCATTATCCCTAATATCATTTTGAACATTTTTGCACAAGTGTGCAGAATTTACATGCAGTAGGGAAAGTGTGCTTTTTCTTCTATAAAATACATTATTTATCAGTGCATTTAGTTCATACAATACATGACACCATTCAGACAGATATGACAGAGTAGGAGGGGGTTCCAGTGATTGAACAGATTAAACCAATCTAACAGCACATTCTTATTGAGAACCTTCTCTGTATCCAGCATTGTTATAGGTACTTGGTAGGGCAGGGGGAGTGGGAAAGAACAGGAAGGGCAGAGTTATAAAAGAACTCTAAGACATGATGCTTCTTGTCAAGGATTTTACAGTCTAGTTAGTGAGACAAAATTAACATACGTTAAAAAAATAATGTGCTAATTAAACACTAAATTATGTGGAGAAGGAATGTATTGGAAAGGAGAAACCATTCGCCTAGGACTCAAGAGACTGGAACTTAAATTTGAGATCTTCCACTTTGTAGTTTTGTGAGCTATTGAAAGGTAAGTTCTTTGAGGACAGGAACACATTTTTATCTTTGTGTAGGCTTTATAGTAGCAGGGAGGGAGGGAGGTCCTTATCCCAACTCCCACTTCCTCTGTCTATCTTATCCCTAGAGGAATGACTATAACTTTCCATTACTGCTCTTTGTTAACCTTAAGAGGTTGTGGAATTTTCTTTGATCTCATAGGCATGAGCTACCATTTGTGCGTGTTTCTCCAGTATCACTGTCATTTATGGTTCCTATCTCCCTTACATCATCATTTGACTGACCCAGTGATTAG